TTCTTCATTATCTTCTTTATTCTCAATAGCACCTCCTTCTCCTGTTGCTGCTGCTGCTGCGCTGCTGCTGCTGCTGCTGCTGCTGTCAGCAGATTGCTGCTGCTGCTGCTGCTCCTGCCCCCCTTCCTCCCGCTCCTGCTGCTGCTGCTGCTGCTGCGTAGATGTATTTGTTTTTTCTGCATTTAATTTATAACATCTATACACCGTAACTTCTCCTGTTCTTCTTGCTGCTGCTAAGAAAATAAAATCAGCAGAATGTCGATGGGTGCTGAAGCATAAACATGTAACAGCTTCTTTTGTCTTTGTATCATGTGGCTGCAGCAGCAAACAAACAGCAATAAAAGAATATTCAAATTTATATTTATATTTCAATATATATATATATATATATATTTATGTATATGCGATAAGCAGCAGCAGCAGCAGCGAAATAAGCAGCAGCATGAACAGCAGCAGTAACAGAAGCAGCAGCAGTAACAGAAGCAACAATAGCAGCAGCAGCAGATAGAGCAGCAGTAGAAGCAGCAGCAACAACAGAAGCAGCAGCAGCAACAGCAGCGTCAAGAGTAGCAACAGGAGCTGCCCTAAACCGCAACCAACAGCAACATCAAAAACAACATCAGCAACAGCAGCATGAGCAGCAGCAACAGCAGCATGAGCAGCAGCAACAGCAGCATGAGCAGCAGCAACAAAAACAGCAGCATAAGCAACAGCAACATCAAAAGCAACACCAGCAACAGCAGCAGCAACAGCAACAGCAACAGCAGCAACAGCAGCAAAAGCAGCAGCAGCAGCAGCATACGAGTATTTCAACGACAGGGACGACCCCATCGCAGGGAGAGAGTATAGGCGGTGGTTCTGCTGCAGCAGCAGCCTCTCTCGAAGCAGCAGGGGGTACAGAAGGCAGCAGGAACTGCAGCTCTTGCTGCAGTCTCTCTGTTCGTGTCTTTGCTTCATTGTTTCTTCTACCTGCAGCAATAAACGATTTAATGCTGTCAACGAGTGTTGAAGGAAATGAGTTAGAAGATCGCAGTAAAGAAGAAGATAAAGAAGAAGAAGCTCTCCCAGTCGAACCCCGCAGCAACACCTGCTGCTGCTGCTGCTGCTGCTGATGCTGCAGCTGCTGCTGATGATGATGATGATGCTGCTGCTGCGGAGCTAAAGGAGATACGCTGCTGCTGCGATAAGCAGCAAGTGCATCTAACCACGGTTTTAAATATTCATAGAAAGAAGAAGGCGAAGACAGCTCGCGATAATGAAACCCTAAACAAGCAGCTGAGAACAAAAACAAAAATATATATAATCAACAATATTAATTATATATATATATGCATGCATATATATATATATATATATGCATGCATATATATATATATATATGACATAGACAGACAAAGAAAGAAAGAGAGGTAAAAAGAAAGAAAAAGAAAAAGACAGAGACAGAAAAATAATCAGACAGAAATAAAGATATAGATAGAAACAAAAAAAATAAATAAAGATAAAGATAAATATAAATATATATATATGTAAATAGATAAAGAGAGAGAAGGAGACAACAAAGAAATAAAGATAAAGAGATAAAGAAAAAGAAATAGAAGTAATGAAAATAAATAAATAAAAATAAAGAGATAGAGACAGAGACAGAAAAAGAGACAGAGAAAGAAATAAAGAGATAAAAATAAATAAATAAATAAAAACAAATTAAAAAGAAATAAAAACAAAGAGATAAAGAGTGAGAGAAGGACAGAGAGAGACAGAGAGAGAAGGACGGAGACAGTAAAACAGAGAAAAAGACGAAGATAATATAAAAAGATAAATAAAAAATATATATATTAACTCATACCTGCATCTCTTGCTGCTTGTCTATCAATTGCGTTTGTAGGAGAAGAAATATTATTATTAATATTATTATTATAATTATTCTCAATAAGAACAACTTGTGTAGGAAGAAGCTGCGGTGTATATGTTTCTTTGATAGTAGTTAAGATAATATTTTCTGCTGTACTTAAACAAAGTTTAAATGTATTTATATCATCTCCTTTAAATATACAACATAAAACAAAGGATTGTCGGCACCTCTGCTTTAAGGTGTCTATACACTGCAATGAGTCGTCAAGAGAAAATAATAAACAATTTATAACGCCTACGCCTCCTCCTCCTTTCACCTGCATAAACAAATAAATAAATATAATTAATTTAATTTAATAAATATAATTAAATAAATATAGTTAAATAAACGAATAAATAAATAAATATGTCTTCTTGTTCTGTATCTGTTGAATATATATACATATATAGAACAATAATAATAAACAAATATAAATATATTAAACAAATATAAATAATAATATTCATAAATAACACAAACAAATATTAATAAATAATAATAATAAATAATAATAATAATAATAATACAAATTAAACACAACAGGCAGCAACAGCATAAACAAAACAAGTAAAAATAATATCAATAGAGATAACAATAAATAAAAAGAAGAGCAGATTAAAATAAATAAAAATAACTAAAAATAAAACAAACAACAAATAAAAAAGAGGAGAGACACAAATGCAAAAGCTCAAGACCCCAACAGCAAAGCAGCAGCAGCAAAGCAACAGCAGCAGCAAAGCAGCAGCAGCAGCAAAGCAACAGCAGCAGCAAAGCAACAGCAGCAGCAAAGAAGCACCAATAGCAGCTGCTCCAGCAGCAACAGCAACACAACAGCAACAAGAACAGCAGCAGCAACAGCAGCACCAGCAGCAGCAGCAACAGCAGCAGATATTAATTTACCCTGATAAGATCTTCTCTCCAGCCCGCTTTATCTTGCTGCTGCTGCTGCACTTGCTGCAGCTGCAGCAACGCATCCCTGTCTCCTAATTTCTGAATAAGAGACAGCAGCAGCTGTCGCTTCCCAACGTTTGCTGCACCTATCAGCAGCAAATCGATAAATCTCTTCTCCCATAGAGCTGCTGCTGCTTCGTGCTGCTTATAGCTACCTTCAGAAGCAGAAGCAGCCTTTAATACAGCGCGGCTTCCTGCTGCTGCTGCTGCTGCTGCTCTTGCTGCTGCTGTGGATGCTGCGGCTGCTGCACGTGGTGCTTCTGCTGATCCTGCTGCTGATCCTGCTGCTGCTCCTGTTCCTCCTCCTGCTGCTGCTGCTGCAGGTGCTGCTCGTAAACCCATCATGCTGCTGTCTTCTAATACAAGTTTATACTTCGCATCAGCTAGCTGTCGCTGTTCCTTCTCTTGCTGCAGCTGCTGCTGCAGCTCCTGCACCTGCTGCTGCAGCACTTGCTGCTGCTGTTGCTGCTGCGTTGCTTTTTCTGCTGCTGCTGCTTCCCTCTTCTCTATCAATGTCTTTATTTCACTCACTTCTACGGTAAACCCTCTCCTCAGCCCCCCCTGTTCTGCTGCTGCTGCTGTTGCTGTTGCTGCTGCTGCTGCACCGCTGCCTACTAGATACAAACGCAGAGACTCCAGCTGTCTCTGCAGCTCTCCTAGCATTTCTACGCATAAAAACACACAAACAAAAACCCTAAACCCTAAACCCTAAACCCTAAACCTCAATCCATACAACCCAAACACCAGTACCAGCAGCAGCAGCAGCAGCAGCAGCAGCAGCAGCAGCAGCAGCAGCAGCAGAAGCAGCACCTGTTTTTGCTTTAAGCTCTCCTCTAAGTTCCTTCACCTCCTTCTTCGACTGCTGCAGCTGCTTCTGTAATTCATCTGCTCGAGCCTAAAAACAAACAGCAGCAGCAGCAGCAAGAACGAATTGCTAAGAGGTGGAGGCAAGAGCAACAGTAGCAAGAGCAACAACAACAACAACAGCAGCAGCAGCAGCAGCAGCAACAGCAGCAGCAGCAGCAAACCTGCTGCTGCAGCTCTCGAGTTGCTGCATCTTCCGCCTGTTGACGGGCTTCGCCAAGCTCCTGCTTCAGGTCCTGAAGCAAACAGCAGCAGCAGCAGCAACAGCAGCAGCAGCAACAGCAGCAGAAGTTAAGAAAAAGACAAGAGAAGGGCAACCAATACAAACAACCAAAAATAATAAAAAATAATAAAAAAAAATAATAATAAATAATAATTAATTTAATTTAATTAATTAAATTAATTAAATTAAATTAATTAAATTAATTAAATTAAATTAATTAAATTAAATTAATTAAATTAATTAAATTAATTAAGTTAATTAAATTAATTAAATTAATTAAATTAATTAACTAAATTAAATTAAGTACTTGAACAATCGTGACGAGTCCTGCGACATTTTTTGCTTCGGCTTTCAATCGACGAAGCTGACGAATTGCAACCAAACGCTTCCACCTACAGCAGCAGCAGCAGCAGCAGCAGCAGCAGCAAGGTAAGATGCAGCAGC